TAATAATGCCTAATGATGTTGTCTATTTATTATTGCACTCGATAGAAAATTGTTGTTAGATAAAAAGGTTTATTTCCATTTCATTCTTTTTGTTTGTTTTTTTTTTTTTTTTCGTTGCAATCGATAGTAAAAAGAGAGAGAAATACGAGATGACGTTCAACGAGGTCAAGGTAGACAATTTCTGCGTATATATTTTAGAATTTACGCATCGTATCGTTTCATCGATATTGCATCGTATCATTTTACCATAACTTGTAGTTTTTTTTTTTTATACTTCTCACAATCAGATTAAATTTTAGGCCGTTCCCTCCCCAAAAGAAACAGTAGCGATTTTTCATGCTGGTCGTTGAACGAGTTAAAACATCATTCTTACTCTTTGCAGACATAAATTTATTAAGTTATTTAACTTACCCAATTATAGTTAGAACGTCCAAACAATGCGACTTTCGTTATGCGATTATACTCGGCTTGTATTTATCTCCCGCCAAGACGTATGCAAGTGTGCAATGTTTCCCCGAGTATTTTGGACAAGATGCGATAGCTTTCTTAGAGGTTGAAACACGGCGCGTATTGCTTTACCCGTTCCCTCTAAGTTGGAACAATGGACGAACTTGCGAATTGTTCTAACGTTTATTATGCTACGTGTTTCTATTCTGTCTCTGGGAACGTTCCAAGATAGAACGAGAAAGAGGAACGGACAGAAGAGAGTTGTTGGTGGAAGATTGAAAAATAAATATTGTAAAAGTGCAGGGAACATTTTCTCGTAGAATGTCGACTTACGAAAGGCAAAAAAAAAGTAAAGAAAGGGAGAAAGAAGGAAAGAAGGAATAAGAGAGAGAGAGAGAGAGAGAGAGAGAGTGAGTGAGTGAGTGAGGGAGAGTGAGAAAGAGAGAGAGAGTGAGCGAGAACAATATTCCATCGTATATAAGGGTAGAAATTTCGCGGGAGGATTAATCACGTCGATGTAGCTCGATTATGAGGTGAGCTTAAAGGGAACACTCTTTCAGGTCGCTATTAAGCTCTCGATCGTTCAAGTACTTATTATTCACACAGGTCTAACAGTGGCAATTAAAATTTTCTACGACAGGAAGGGGAAGGAGGGAGGGAGGGGCATACCCCTCACGGGAATTTCATTTTATTGATATTTTTTGTACGCGTTAAGCTTAACCGGGAAATTGTGAGAGGTAAAACTAAAAATAACGCGTCTCTTTCATTTCGTTAATCGAATCTAACAATATCTCGCATCACTATGGAGGAGATACCAATTAACGAAGAGAAAACACTTTAATGTTTTCACGTATGAGAAAAGCGTGAAATGAAATAATACGCGATAATAAAAATTTCTACTTATAATCTCTCTCTCTCTCTATATATATATATAATTAGGCATCGTAAACATTATCGATTCATTTCACAGATATAATATAATCCTTTTCTTTTTTTTCTTTTTTTTGTAATTTGAACGAATGATATATTAATCGTTTAAAAGATCTAATTCGTCTAACCAACAAAAGTTGACTTTAAATTGCCACTATGTTCCTTTAAACCGCTTTTCATGCGCCTGATTCGTGCCTTTAACGTCGCGCGAGAGAGTTTAAGCAAATCTTTTAATGAAAGCGGTCCAAAAGTTTTCCGTAGCGTTCCAACCTACCTCACGATTCACTGGAATTTCCTAATAGCATCAAAATCTAATCTTCTGGTCGAAGGATGGAGGGAACAAGTGAAAGAGAGAGAAACTCAAATAAGGCCCAAAGGCTTCCTTGATGCTTGGTAAGTTCCTTGTTATTGTTATTGAGATGTGTAGATAGCACGTTTCACTACAGTATAGATATATAATTATATGTATAACTGTAGGCAAGGTAGAAATAGGAGGAGGAGGAGGAAGTAAAGGAGGAGGGGAAGGGGGGGGGGAGAAGGCAGAACAGAATGGATATACGATCTACACAGCAGTTACCAAGGGAAATGGTTGACTAGGACTTGGTAAAGGGTGCAAGGTGGTGCAAGGGACGGGATTTGGTGATGTAGTCAGTCTGAGATGTAGCCGCAAGCTATGCATATGGAATGCTCCCTCACGAGTCGGTGGTTTGAGAGGCGTTAACAGGGGGCTACCTTGATCCAGGACTGTACTATCTTAATTAATTTGCTTTTAGATTGAAAAATGTTAGAGAAAGATATCGTAACACCTTTTACACCTTTGCTATCCTATTTCTTTAACGAATGTTTTAGTCATAGCGAGATTAACTTGCTGTTATTTCCTACCTTCTTTTCTTTTTTTTATTTTCTTTTTCTTTTTCTTTTTCTTTTATCTTCTTTTCCTTCTCGTGCCATCGCTAAATCATTAACAGCGTTACGAGGTCATATGGAAATTTTTAATGCATTATGCAGTGGCCGCGTACCGCAAAGTTTACGAGCATTAGAGTTATTGAAAGTGTTGCTATAACTATTTAGGAAGAGCTAACTACTGAATTAACCGACCTCTCTCTCTTCTTCTCAGAATGAAAGTTCACACCGTTAAGAAAGTTCATAAGTTTATATAGACTTTAATTTTACGTTGAACTTCATTTCAGAGCAAAATCGCTTTAGTTTTTGGCTTACTTACACTTTCGCGGTCAGAGCGCGAAACGTTAAGAAGCTTTGAACGTTAAGATTGAGCGGTAAACGGTAGACGGCGCTTATGCTAGAAAAAGTAACATCATGAAACTTCATTTTCATGGTATTCTGGTCACGCTGAGAAAAGGACTATGAGGAAAGAAGGAACTTGAATCTTCTCCAATTTCGTTCTATTTGATATTATCAAAATCTTATCTATGTCGAAACGGACAGGTGAGATTTACCGCGTCTAGAATTTAAGCGTTAAGACTCGACTATGTCGGATATATATTTGCTTTGAGCGCGAACTTTCCTAAAGAACGTGCCGTACTGGTAAAGTGTCGTCTGTAAAGAGAATTTTAAGTTAACACCCCGGCAGTGGTGCATCGAAAATTCATCGTTTTCGCGAGCTAGAGTCGTGTATCTCGTTTTTATTATATATTCTCTGTAAGAGAGGTAGGTAAGTAAGTATCGAACAGTTTTCTCTTTGAAAGAACCTACCGACAGAAGGGGGGGGGTGGGTGAGGTGATAAGGTAATTATTATTCTTCGTAGAATCGTAGAAAATAAAAATGAACATTGATTAGAAAAGAATACCAATGATAATACGATAAAAGATCAAATATGGTGGTGGTTATGGTGATGGTGGTGGTGGTGGTAGTTGTGCGCAGGGTAACTCGAGGGCGCTCGACGTCACTGGCCGTTCGACCACCCTGCCTACTACCCTCTCTACCATCACCACCACCACCACCACCACCAGCTGCATCTCGGGGAGGGTGGTGGCGGCGGCAAGGGATGATTTTGGTTTGGTTCTCAGTCGTCACGACGGCAGCGCCGTGCCGGAGGCTCCAGTCCGATCGCAGCATCACTTGCGGTGCTTTCGCGCGCGCGAATCTCTCTGTCTCTCTTTATCCGTCAGTCCAACTATACAACGGAAACACACGGCTATTTCTTTTCCCCCCTTTTACTTCCCCGTTATATCATCTACCCGCGGAGACACGTGAAACGTTTTTCCTTTTGTTTTTTGTTCGTCTAAATCATCCCTTTTTTTTTATCTCCCCGCCCTCCGAGGTTTTTTATTTTTTTTTCTTCTGTCCACACTTTTTTTTTATTTTCCTCACACTACTCACAACACCACTACTATTTTCTTTCTTTTTTTCTTTCTTTCTTTCTTTCTCTCTTTTCTCTTCTTCCGCTTTTCGCAAAGAGTCTGAGCTCGAGCTTGAACGAAAGAGGGAGAGGGAGAGAGAGAGAGAGAGCGAACAACAAATAAGAGGATAAAACGCGCGTGTTACGATAAGAGAGAGAAAGAAGAAGAACGGTCAAAAAAAAAAGGAAAAGAAAAAAAAGAGTTAACGTATGAAACAACAACAACAATATCAACAACACAACAACAACGTTCGTAGTAGTATCGGAAGATATAATAAGCGTGTTAAGTGCAACAGATAAGATAAAAAGAAGAGAAATATAGTTTGTTATTCTTGAACTTGTTATCTCTTGGTCACTTGTTTGGTTTTTTTCTTTTTCTTTTCTTTTATATATATATATACATATAATAATGTAATTTCGATTACGACATGTAATCGGAAGATGATGGGAAGCAAAGTGTTATTGGAGTATCAATATCATCATAGACGTGAACGACGTGGGATCGTACGATCGGATGTTTCTTCTTCGCGCCGAAATTCGCGAGGTGTTACGACGAGAACGACGTGGGTTGTTAGCCGATAAAATAATCCCTTATTTTCATCCCCCTACATTTTCTTTCTTTCTTTATACATAAATATCGTATTCCACGCCTTCCATTCTGACACTTTGTCATAACATTTCCATCAATGAAATTCTGGGGTCTCGGTCTCATTTAGATCCCACCGTCGGATTGTATCAACCAACGGAAAAAAATCCCGTTATAAACTTGTTCGATTTACTACAAACCTACCCCTTACCAATACAACCCTCCCCTTCCACCCCTTTCCTCTTCTATAAAAAGCAGTTTTATTGTTTGGTGTTATCGAGTGCGTTGCTACGTGAAATTAACAGGAATTTGTTTCCGCCCCAACCTCCCACAACTCACCCCTCTTCACTGTTTCATGGAAAGAGGAAATAAGTGAACTTATTTGTGTGTATTTCGATCATTTTTGTTTATTATCCACATTTTAACAAGATTCGAGCGCATTTAATAAAGGAAAATAGTTCGTGTTACAACTGTGTCGGGACTAATTTTATCGATTTTATCTATTGAAATAATCAAAACAGTGTCGGTCGCGTATATCGATCTGATCTGATCGATCGATCATCGATCGTGAAACATTTTGCGTGAAGAGTGTATTATTACGATACAATAATGATAAGAAAATAAATGATTAGTCGACGTTAATGGGATAAAAATTACGTATGGTTGGTTGCGTGTGAAGAAGACGAGAGTTGCATCTAACAACAACGTTGTGTTAGTAAGAAAAAAAAAAAACGATTTCAAGGAGGATTCACCAGAAGCTCTTCTGTTGCTCGTGTTCTTGCAAGCTCAACCGGGGGGGATTTAGTGAATTAAAGGGCTACAGTGCTTTGATAAAAGTGAATGGATATTTCTTGCATATCAAGTGACACACGTTGTATTTTTAACAACAACAACAACAACAACATCATAGTTGCATCGTTCTCGCGCCACTTTCATCATTCACGTTGAATCTTCTTTTGTGTTTTCCGGCTGAAATCGAGAAATTCGAAGATAAAAAGGAAAGAAGAAAACAAGGAGAAACAGCACTGCTCTCTCTCTCTGTCTTTCTCTCACTACCGAGGTAAAGCCGCTTTTCTCCAACTATTTTCTACGTTCTATACTTATCTGTTATCTATTTTTTTTTTTTTTTTTTTATTTCTTTCTTACCTTTGTCTCGTCGTCTTCCATCGCTAGATTCGTTTTACAAATCGATTTTCTTCTATCTATAACACAACTCTCTCTCTCTCTCTCTCTCTCTCTCTCTCTCACACACACACACTCCTCGACGTAATCTTTTGGGAAAGCCACGAGAAGGCTTTTCAATTTCAAAGGATTCCAACGAAGTTTCGAGCTCGTTCAAACACTCCAAAGGTATATTTTCGAACGGACGAAAAGAATCCCTTCGTATGGGGACCTCCTCTTACGAGAGTCGTTCGTTCGGTTAGAGAAAAGAAGTGAGCTTTGAGTTTTAAGGTGTAATGGAACTTTAATTCTCTTTTATATAAAAATTTCGATTGGTTTAACAGGTGTGTCAGACTCTTCATTTCTTACTTTTGAAATAAGTGTTAGGAGTATTAAATATTTCTTTTTCTTTTTTTAAAACTAGACGCTATAATCGTACAATATTATTTGAAAATTATAAATCAATCCCTTTTCTTTTACTATTTTCGATAGTACTAGGGATCTTTTTCACTTCGTCTTACTTCAAGCTTAGGATATCGATGTAATATCAAATAGAATTATAGCCATAATGTGATCCATTACTTGCACGTGTCCTAACGTCATCCATTTCTCAGATAGAAAATCTCGAAGTAGAATGTACGACGATTCTCTCTCTCTCTCTCTCTCTCTCTTTTTCTTTTTCTTTCGATTTAGAAAGAAATATTTATGATCCCATTGAAGTTGCACCCTTGTTCTATTTCTCTCATTTGTGACCAAGTGATTTAGAAATCCATCCGAAACCTCACTCTATGTAATTTTTGTAACAATACCGTGTCCTAGGGTGAAAATTAATATTGATTGTAGTAACCAGGTGTCCTTGACGCGTAACCACCTATGTGATCTTTTATATAAACGTTAAAATAACAAAAAAAAAAAAAATGAATATGACTTTTCACCTCGTTTAGAATAAGTTTCCCCTAGAGAAAGAAAGACATTTTCTTTCAACGGACCCGTAAATTCATTTTCCACGGTGCAACAACTATACGAGGAACGAGGGAAGCATTGAAAAAAAAAAACAATTCCGGATGCTCCTCCTTCAAGGACCGTCGACGATATTTGCCTCGTGCTGGTTACGGTACGGTACCGTGTCGTATCGTTTACGAAGCTACCGAACTATCATCAGGGGGAAGTGCACTACTGTGGTACACCCTTAATGCATAATAATTAAATGGCCAGAGCCCGATTTCGCTTTAGAAAAGTTCATTTCAATTTACAAACGGTGGATCGTCGTCGTCGTCGTCGTCGTCGTTGACAATAATAATGTAACATAGCAATGTGGAAAGGAGGAAAACAAAAAATTCAATTTCGTTATCGCGGACACAACTCTAATGGATTCGTCATAAAAGAATGTTGACCGTCATAAATGGAAAAAGGAGTTTTAAATCCTTTAATCTGTTTTCACCATCACCACTAACCACCACCAACACCGTCGCCACAAGAGACCACCTCATCTGAAAAGAAGAAGAAGAAGAAGATGAGGAAGAAACGAATCAAAGAAATGAAACCTCATTAAAATAAATACGATTCTCTAATTCACTCTCTGGAAAACAACGTTTCACCGTCAAATCAAACCGATTACAGTCAAGTTATTTCGAATAATCCTTTAGTTTTCGGTATCACCAAAAATAACGAGTTTCAAGGTTTATATAGTTAGTAAGGCCCTTCCCTTAATTTTAAACGATAACAAAACTCGTATTTAAACTTTTTTTTATATACTTTTGGGAAAGAAAACGAACGTTACCTATTATTTCTGTGCTTTCGATCGGAATCGAATGAAACGAAACAAAATTTAATGAACGCGTGTTTGTCCAAAAAAAAAAACAAAAAACAAAACAAAAAAAAAGATAGAAAAAAAGTAATAGCAACAAATGATTGGATCGCAGTAATGAAAGGCAAGATAGGTAAAAAGGGAAATAAAACCATTAGAGGATTTATGAAAACGAGATCAATTAAAATGCTGGATGATGATAAAATAACAAATGATATTTTCATATTTGATTGTGTACGTGTAAAAACGGGGAAGGGGTAATATGGCCGAGGGTAAATCGGTATCGACGTCGTTTTTCTTGGACAAGAATTGATCTCGTTGGAATAATAGAACTCGAATCTCACAAGAGCCGAGAAGAAGGATCGTCGAGAAGATGATGCAGGAAGGGACGAGACGAAGGTGATGCTAGTAGTAGTAGTAGTAGTAGTAGTAGGTTACGATTGGTGAAACGGAGAAGAAGAAGAAGAAGAGGTCGACGGTGGTAAAGGGGAATCGAATAATGGGTGAATCTCGCACAAAACTCGGATGATTGATGGAAGAAGCGGATGGAGGACAGAACGCGTGGGAGATGGTAGCGATGGTTTTGATGGTGGTAGTAGTAGTAGTAGTAGTAGTAGTAGTGATAGTAGTAGTGATGGTGGGAAAAGATGGCACGAAAAACAAAAGGAAGAAAGGAAAATACATAGGTGTGTAGAAAGGAATGAACATGTTTGTGTGTATGTGTGTATGTGTGTATGTGTGGGTTCAGAATAGGTCAGTATACACGTAGGTACATATACGTAGAATATCTTCGATCGTACTCGAACGGCTCTCGATAATAACGATAGCAGGGTGACGTAGTGCACTACTTCGTAGGTAGAAGAACCGTCGATCGTCCGTCTCCCAAATAATGAGATTTCTATCTTTTCGGAAAGGAATATTTATCACTCGCGTGGATCGTAACGGTAGGCGACTTCATGCTACCAGCATCCATCCGACATTCCGTTAGATCGTTCAATTTTCAGAAGAAAATGTAACGAGAAATAAGAATGAAGATACGTCGGCTACACTTATTGTCATATATATAATAACATATTCTGCATTCTCGTATCGAGACACTGCATCCATCCGTCACTTTTCACTTATATATATATTTGTGTGTATATATAGTATATCCATGTATATACGTATATCTTATATTTACTTTCATTTCGCAACGCAAAATTCCCATTGAAAAATTCACGATACTTTTCCATCTTTCTTTTCTCTGCGGTAATTTTTGACCTTCTTTTACGCGAGTAATATCCTTCCCTGGTATTTCTACGAACGATAAAAAAGTTAACACACATATATATATATATATATATATATATATATATATATATATATATATATATATACATGCATACATTGTGTGGGTGTGTTGTTTCAAGTAAATTAGGGAAGACGATACTTAAGGGAAATATTCGTCGAGTTTATTCACTAACCGAGCTAGCTTAAATCAACCTAGGTATGTACACATATATACACCCATACTCTTATAACTTTAGGTAAGATAATTTTTAATGGATTAAATATTACCCATCTCCATTGCAGCTCATTTACTATTTTATTTGTCGAAATATAATGAAGGAAAACTAAAAAAAAAAAAAAAATAACTGCATGTAAAGAAAAATACAAAAGAGAGAGAGAGAGAGAGTTTTAGGTAGTATTGGTTAGTAATTTTACGATCCACGATGGTTACTGTACCATACGAAATAATCTTATCGGTTCGTCATCGATTTAACGACGAAACGATGCGGAGGAATCGACCATAACTTTTGGTTATACGTCGGAATATCAAAATACGAGGGATATTATTGAAATCGATTACTTCCTTCGTACAAATCTCTCGAAGAATTTCAATTCCAATTTTGTTGTATAAGATACAAATTTGTGATTGTAATAAAAAAGAAAAGAAAAGAGAAAAGAAAAATTGTACGARAAAGTAAAACTCATTCATTGAACGTATTCTCACGAATAATGGAAAGTGCAACGTGTCAGCTTGGACGAACGCGCTGACGAAAGAACGTGGAAGAGGAGGAGGTGGAGGTGGAGGTGGAGGAGGTGGAGAATCGCGCGGTTAGAATATATAATATCTTTTATCGTTCGATATTTAACGAGATACGGCGGCAGTACGGACACGCGGGATTAAACTAATCACTCACGGTTTCGGAACAGGCACACAACGATTCTACACGTTTCGCATCGAAGGCCGATTAGCGCATTTGTCATGCAGCCGGAGTATCTCGGGCTCGAGCGTAACCCATTAAAGGGAAAGGGAAAGGGAAAGGGAAAGGGAGAGGGTAGAGGAAGAGGGAGGAAGAGAGATGAGTAGCACGAGAGTTCGTATGCAAGGACGACGACATACAATACAATGGCTGCAGCAGCCGTGCAAAGACGATGATTCGAACTCTCCTAAGTGAACGCCCGTCCATGATCAATGGGGAAGGGATCATCCTATATATATGTTTTGGAGTAGGTGTTTTGTGTAGATGGAACCGAAGCGGTTCGTCATCAGTCGAAATTCTGCGCGTGACATTGTCCTCGGTTCTCTTCCTCTCTCTCTCTCATACATACACACATAAATACACACGCATACTACTTCGGAGGTCTTCCACTTTCAAGAGGGATTAATCTATAGCCATACACACAACACCAATGGGTGTTACCTCAATGCAATATGCAACGGCGTATCCGCGCGAGGCTTACGGATTAATGAAGGATGACGAGAGAAATGACGGGTTTCACGCGTCCGAAATTACTACCGCGTGCATTTCCAAGGTGGTAGGTGAGGGGTGGTAAAGCTTTCCACCACGTGAAACATCTCGTTCTTCATGTTGTAGAATCGTTTATGTGTATTATATTCAACACACACGCGTTTTGCATTATGACGGAAAAGTACTGTCGTATGAGGGGTATTATACTTCTCCACCCTCGCACGTATCCTTGAATTTGTCGTGCGTGTAAAGATCTCATTTGGAAGTGTCGGTATAAATGTTCTTCCTTTTCTTCTCTTCTTTTTTTTTCTTCTTTTCCCTTTTTTTTCTACCCTCTCTCTCTCTCTCTCTTGG